AATACACTTCACACAATGCATTCCACATAATCAAAATGGGAATGGGGTAGTTTCTTTTTTCTTTTTCTTTTTTTGTTTCATTTTAATAATATTTTTTTTAAAATGTAGTTTTTTTTTTATGAAAACCTTTGACACTTGAGATTCACTATGTCATGTGTTAATTCGTGATTAATTGCTATTATTTTTAATGAGCCATGTTGGATAATTAGTTAACGGAAAGTCTAAATTAATAAATTTTTAAGAGTAGAAAGTTTTAATCAAACCAAAAAAGAATAAAAGATCTCAATTAAAAAAAAAAAAAAAAGAACCGCATAGTGACAAAATATGGGATAAACCCTAGTAGTTTGGAAAAGAAATCCCACATTTAAGCTAGAATAAGAAAAAACAAAGTGATGATAAGTACCATGGATAACTCTCGTTACATATATTTTAAGAATTTTGGATGGATCATTATTTTAAATTGTATGTCTTTGATGTTCATAAAAAGAAAGCTTTGGGGTTTATTTGCCCTATATGAAACAAATGAAAGTGCATTTGATATACTTGGGAATAACAACGGACACGGTTAGTAACTATTTTTTTGGAGAATGTCGAGGTATCACATAAAGGGCATGGGTTGAAGGATGAATAAGGACGACCCTCGAAAAAATAATCTCAAAAAAAATATATTTAATAAAGACACGTTCGAGCTGTTTCTTCAATCCCATCAAGAGTGCATATGGCACATCTATCATACTCACCAACCTATTTATGTTTCTTGTCAAAAGATACGAATCAATCGAGTGGATCCAAAAACCTTCTAAATAAGATTACTTCATATATATAAATATATGGGCCATTGATCTAGGAAGAACTTAAGAATCCTCACACTCTAGGACACCGCGAGTCTAGAAAAAGAAGGCTCAACATTTCTCTATTGTAACTCAAAGACAAAATATTTAATGAAAATTTTTCAATGATGATGTCAACCAGATCATTAATGTATTAACTCAAATCGTAAAAATAAATATAATGATGGCAAAACACTAGCACATGTCGACCCCTCTCGCTAACTTTGAAAGAAAAGGACACTTCTATCCTTCCTACCATGGAAGTTGTTCCCGTAGTTGTCTATATAAAGACAATAACCATCACAAGTTAAGGGAACCAATTCCAACCGAACTCAACTTCTACAAAGAACCATGGATATGTTAGAAGAATACTCTTTAAATATTTTCATGATGTACAACTACCTCTTTTCTACTATCAAATTGTAAAAAAAATTAGTACATACTACCAAGAAAGCCAATTCGTCATTTTTTGACTACTAACTTGAGCATTGAAGGATCTTTTGCTCAATTAAAATACTTCAATCACGTTCGATCATTGTAAAACGATTGTAAAAGAACCATCATTATCATCTTAAACCACTTATACTAAATTTGACGACTCATAGGATTGAATGTTAATAAGTATGACACAATTATATAAATTTTAATTTCGAGAGGGAGGAAGGGTGTTTTCTAAAAAGGTTTACCCTATAATTGTCCATGTACGAGTTTCAATTTTTTTTATTGAGATCCTTTATTATTTTTCGGTTTGATTGAAACCCTCTATTCTTACAAATTTATTGATTGATACTCTTCATTATAACATCATAACTATTTATCTTATATGGCAAGTTAAAAATAACGATAATCAATTAAATAACGACACGTGGTATAATGGGTTTCAAGTATCGAGTTGCTATTAGAAATTAAACAAAAAAGATCTAAAAATATTTTAAATAGAATATAAAAAAAGTAGCTAAAAAAATATAGGTGGAAGGATCGGCGGTATTCATCTTCCTCCCTATTCATCCGAACCACTAGAGAAAAAAACCTTTGCTTCACCCATCCCAAAAATCTCACCCAAGCACTATTATAGCTTGAAGTACTCTTTCTCAACCCATAAACAACCCCGAGCTTTGTCTTCTCTCTCACGTAGTAATCATACAAAAGTAGTCCATTTCTCCAACTCGAAACAACTAACCCATTTACTCATTTCATACGTAACCCCATAGCCACCAACTCTACCCACCACTATCTTCGGCAAAACCACCCTCCGTAATCGGTTATTGCCATTGAAACCACACTTCCATAGACCCATCCCTTTGTCAATTTGAGCACTCCAACAAACACTCACCGGTCATCCCTTGCTTCCTCATCAAACCATCATCACCAATAGGGGATCTAAGGATCATGGGATATTGGCAACAATATACAAGTTAGATAAGAGAAATTAGATTGTGAAAGAAGGATATAAGATTCTCAAAAATTCTAGGGATCAATGGAGTGATTTTTTGGGATCCTCCATGTGAAATTGCTTATATCCTTGTTTTCTTGTCTCAATTTTTCCCATATCATGAATAGTTATAATTGGTGGAAAGAGGCTAGGTTGCTTGATTTTTTAAAGCAAGTAGAGAGATTTACAAGGGGAGAAGAGACGAGAGAGAGAGAACGAGAATTCTAAATGAAAAAAAATTATTTGGTTTTGGGAGATGGGTGAAGGTAAATTTATCTTTTCATTACAATTTTTAATTTTAACATTAATTTATTATTAAGAATATATATATATATATATATATTCGGACAATAAGATTGATATTTGAGACTCATTATGACATGTGTCGTTGTCCGATTGGTTATCGTTATTTTTAACTTGTCACGTAAGACGAATAGCTAACGGTGTTATAACGGAGAGTCTCAATCAACAAATTTATAAGAATATAGGGTTTCAATCAACCTAAAAAATAATAGAGGTTCTCGAGTCAAAAGAATTAGAACCGTATACGGACGAATTATGAGGTAAACCCTTTCCTAAAATTGGTAGAGATTTTGAAAATTTTAAGTGTTTGAGGGGAAGGAAAATACCACATCACTTATAATTATGGGGAAAAAAAAACAGCACATTACTCAATCATCCCTCGTTTCATGTTTCTCTTTTCAGAAGCAATTGCGTACAGAAAAGTTGGTTTGAGTTCCATTCTTCTTGCGTACCGAAAAGTTGGTAAACTACTTAATTGATTGAATGGAAATGTTACACAAAGCTTTTTCAACCAACGAAGCTAGAAGTGAAAAAGGGAAGAAAAAAGAAATACATTCTCTAAGTACTACAAGCCAACGCAATTTCTTGAAGTGGTAATTCCACCATCCACGACAAGATTATGACCACTGACATACTTTGATTCATCACTAGCAAGATAAAGAGCAGCCTCAGCTATATCTCTAGCCCTTAGAGTTGGACCTTTAAGGTTAGCCAGCCCTCTAACAAAGTCCTCCATCTTCTCCACTTCCTTTTCACCAGGCAATCCAAAATTCAAGCAATCATCCTCTTCATCACTACTTCTCCATGCGTTAACAAGCATAGATGTGGCAACCCCAAAAGGCGAAATGCAATTAACTCGAATCCCATACCGGCCAAGCTCACAAGCTGTGTTCTTTGTGAGTCCAACAATGGCATGCTTTGAAGCTGTGTAAGCATGAGGACCAAGCCCTCCCATGACACCAGCCACACTAGCTGTGGAAATAATACACCCACCTCCTCTAGGAATCATCACTCGTGCCGCGTGCTTAATTCCTAGTGCCATACCTCTAACATTCACATGCATGACACGATCGAATTCTTCTACATCAAAATCAACAATGCTCTTGTTCTTTGATTGATTTCCAAGCACCCCAGCATTGTTGAAAAGAATATCTAACTTACCATAATGAGAAACTGTGGAGTTTATCAAGTTCTCGATGTCTTCTTCTAAGCTAACATCACAATGAACAAAGGAAACTGAAGGGGCTAATGAGTTTGCAAGCAAAGTTCCAAGAGTATCCTCAACATCAGCAAGGACTACTTTGGCACCATGTCTTGCAAAAAGTCTTATTGTTGCCTCTCCAATTCCTCGAGCACCGCCGGTGACTATCGCAACTCTTCCCTCCAACCTACACAAAAACAACAAACAATTTAAACAGGCGTTGAATGTTTTAAGCATACAACCTAGCAAGGTACTAATTAATTGCCTTCCATATGGTTACTAGCTAGTATGAAGAAAAGAGAGAGAACAGCATATAGAGACGCAAATTAAGTAATTAAGATAAAACGGGTAAATACCTTCCAGGACAGTTTGGACTCTTTTCTGTCGACATTTCCCTTCCCAAGACATAATTGCTTTGAAGGGTTTTCTCTTGCATCACTTGAACAGGCATGATTTATCACAGTAGACAAACTGTATGGGAGAGGGAGAGGGGGAGGTAGAGGGAAATGGAGAGAGACAACTTATTGTCGGTAGGAGCACGAATACAGGGAGCTATACATATAGGCCATCGATGCAATAGGGTTTTGGTGTTTAAGGGGAATTCTTTCCCAAATAAAAGTATTTTTAAATCGGGGACTTTAAAACTTGATTTCTTAAAAGGACATCTCGTGTCATATAGTATCCATTTTTGTAGTTAAAAACAAAATTCTAAGTTCAAAATCATGGCAGAGTTTATAATTTACTCGGGAAAAAATGAGAAGTAAAACCCATGATAAATCAATGATATAATTGCTTAAAATTATTTTTTTTATTCTCATGATATTTTAAGTTTAAAAGTTTAGATTAGTCTTATGCTTTTTGGTTGGGCGTATAAAACGAGTATAAATATTCAAGAAATTTTCTATATGTACATAAACTCAAATAATTAAAACTTTTTCTACTAAGTAAAGAAATAAACTATTATTTTTCATAAATTATATAAAAAAATTATTATGATTTGGATAATTTTTCTTACATGTATTAATTAACTGCCCTATTATTGTAATCAAGACTAAAAATTATTAAAATATCTTAATTTAGGGAAAAAAATTAATTATCTTGCTTGAAGGCCATGATAGCATAATGATCTCACGGAATAAACTGCCTTAAAAAAGTGCTTTCAAAACACGTAATTGACTAAACTATTCTCAAAGTTTGAAAGATTCATGCCACTACCTACCTAGCTACTACGATGCTAGTCATCTATGGTGAATGTACAACTGTCTGCCCTTATTGATTTTGCCCTATTTTCAACCGTTGAAACAAGTGCACTAGCTTCTAACTTCGTCAAATACAAAAACCCTTGACGTCTATATTTCAATTCAATTGCCATCTAAAACAAGCATTAATTAATTTTGACGGAGGAGAGTCTCAACCTAAGATCTCATGAGAAAAAATACGAGTAACTGTTAATTTGAAGTTAATACCTCTATTATATTTTACTTCTATAAAATACCCTTATGATTTGCCAATCCATTTTTTTTTTAAAAAAAAAAACCCATAAAGTAGAATTCAAAACTTGAATGATGTAATCCAACTATTTAGAAAGATCTTGTACAGCTAAAAAGGATTCTCCTCTCGTTTCTTATTCCAAACCCAATCCCACTCCCCACCCCTAACCAAAAAAAGAAAACAACAATATTTTACTGTCAAGAATATTTTTAGATCATCTTCCTCATTTTAAAACTAAATTATCTATCTTCTCAATTTGATGTATAAAAACCATCCATGCTAAACTAAAACTTTTACGAGAAATTTCTTTTCAAAATCTAGTGGGAGATTTAAACCCTAATAGTTAAAGGTAGGGTAGACCTTTGAGTACCATTAGACCAGCCTCCCAAGTTTATTATATTATGTGCACATGAACCACAATCTCTGGCTTCGTTCGTTTTCTAGATATACTTGCTAATAGTTAAAGGTACAGTCTGGACCTTGGGGGCTTTAATAAATGTTTTGTAGATTTGATTCCATATGCGTTCCACAAAAGATGCATTTGTTTCTGTGTAGAATAGTAATTTCTCTTAATTTCCCAGTGGATGTAGTACATAATGGCATTATAAATATGTACATTTTTTTTTATCCAAAACAGGAATTAGCTAGCTAGACATGATCAAGGTTATTTTTTAAATTTGTCGCTACTTGCTAGTAATAAAAGAGCCAAACTAAACTTTATCTAAATTTTATTTAAAACTTTTTATTTGTTTTTTTACCCGTTTTATATATATATTTAGTTAATTCTTTAGTTTTCTGTTATTTATTCTAAAAAAATAATAATTACATAAATAATTTCATGGTAGAAATCATTATGTGAAATTTATATAAAGTTTTTCAAAAAAAAAAAAATTCGGATTATTTTCTATTTTTTCTTTTTTTATATATTTTTAATGCTAAAAAAAAATTAAATATAATCTTCGAGTTTGAAAAATTCTGAAATTGATTTAAAAAATAGATTGAATTTTTTCTCGATGCATGTATAGAACTTCGGATCAAAATATCAAAATCAATTTTTTTATAAAAAAAGATGATAATTAAAAATTATAAAATAGACTAAATCTTAAAAAAAAAATCATAGAGGTCAAATCACAAACTAAAAGTTCAAAACTCATTTACTTTAATATGACACCATGCATGTAGAAGCTTTAGTTTAAGAGGATTGGAAATCTCCTCCCACATGGACTAGCAAGTTGGATCCTCTTTCGACGATACCTAGATCCACGCCCAGATCCTGTTTTGATTATTGACTTGGTAAAAGGCAAAAACATTAAGCATTATTTCTTATATATATATAATGGTCGGAGTCTTTTTTTCGATTGGGTCTTAAAGTATTGCCATCTTTTTCGAAATGCTGCTCGTGTTCACACAAAAGCATAATGAGCCAAGGTTAGTGTTTCTGAAACCAGAGGAGATGTCTCGAGAGATGAACCAGCTTACATGCAAGCAGCAACCCTGCAGCTACATTTTGTTCTACATAGTATTTGATTAATTTGTCTTGATTTTTCCTACTGTATTAATTACTAGAGTCAGGTAGTTTATGACTGAATTTCTTTGGTTTCCAGATTTAGTCTTTGTCCTCTAGTAGATGGACAAATTGACAACCTTATACCTAATTAAGTACAGTTTGCTACACTAACACTCCATTATTTTCTTATACTAATAATTTTTATTTTTAAGTTATCAGTTATAGTTGTTTATTTAAACGGGAATCACACCAAATCCTCATAAAGATTGCATCCTTTGAGTAAGCCAATCTGGCAACGAGGTAAGAGTAGATTTTGCATTTTTTAAGCTAAACATGTGTATCACAATTATGCAAAAAAATAACGTTAAAACAATTTCAATAAAAATGTCAAAATCAAATAAACAATAATAATTAAGTAGGTGTCCAAATCATTTACAGGGTCATTGGTTCTGATTGAGATATTTATATTCTTCTGCTTATATATATATATATATATATATATATATATTTCCACTAGCTTGTGAGCAAGCATGTCATTAATGAACTTGTTTGAAGTGGCGCACAATCTCTCTATTTCTAATTACATGTTGGCATGTTGCAATCAATAACACATATAACCATATTTTTAATGAATAAAAAATGGTTTTTCTTCATGTTTTGGGTCCTATAATCTTCATTTTTTTTTTAATTGAGACTCTTTACTTTTTTTAACCTTGATTAAGACTCTTTAATTTTCAAAATTTTTTGTTTCAAACCCCATATTCAATAATCAACGTCTTTATGAGATTTCTTATTTTACAATATTATGTATCGACCATTGATTGATAATATTATAATAAAAAGTTTAAAATAAAAAATTTTGAAAAATAAAGAGTTTCAATCAAGTCTACGGATGGCAATTGGTGGATATTCAACCCATTAATTTATTTTTTTACCATCCCCATCAAAAGAATATCATACTCATTATTAATTAAAAAATCACTATATAAATATCTACCGAGTCCATACCCGATCCATATTAGTTTACCTATTAGATTTAATTTATCAAAAATATTTAATTTAGTTCCTATTGTTTTTAATAAAAATTTTTTATCCTTAAAATTTAATTATTTTTTTTTCATTTTGGTCATTTATTTCTAAGTTTTTTTGTCCTCCAAGTTTTTGAAAAAATATTTTGATCCTTAATTTTTAAATTTTATGCACTTAAATCCTTCTATGTTAATAAAAAAAATCTAAATAAATTAGTGGGTATTAATAAGGTAAAGAGTGGATACTCCTATCTTGAAACCATATTAGTGAGTATGTATGTCTTTTTATCTTTATCCATTTCAATACTTATTGGATATTCTTAATAAGTATATATTGGATTGGATAAATCGAGTATCCGTTTTATACTCGGCTCATTATTATTCCTAATCAAGTGAAAAAAATAAAAGATCTCAATTAAAAAAATTCAAAAAATATAAAATACAAAGATGAAAAAACCCTATAAAAAGAACTATGTATGAAGCCAAATTAACGGAGTTGCGAAAATCATCTTGAGTAGAGCTACCGTAGATAACGGTCAACTAATCACTTCTCTTAAAGGGATGATTTTTGCTTTATTATGTTGCAAAGGATCTTGTTTGCTTGATTCTGTTGTAAAGTAGTTGCTCAAAGAAGGTTGAGCAATAATTAGAACAAGATAAGATGCCAATATCGCCATGGACCCTTTGTGTTGTTGTAGTGGCAACAACTAATTAACCTTAAAATACATGATACTCCTGTGTTGTTCTATGTTATTTTGGACACAACTACCAATAAACTTTTTTCTTCTTCTTTGGCCAAGGCTAAACATTAGAGATAATTAAGTTATCTCTAATCACACATATATTATGCTAATGGCCTCCGATGTTAATATATTCTTACAAGAAAAAGAAATGGAGGAATTATTCAAAAAACAGGGGGAAAAAAAAAGAATCTAGTTGACCTGATCTAGTTATTGGAATTTTTTTATTTATTTGTTAACTATGCACTGGCATCATTCTTTTTTTCTTTTTTCTTTTTTTTTAAAAAAAAACATCATTGTCTTTGTCTTGATTACTTATCTAATAAAAGAATCTGTGTTAGTGTAGGAATATGAATTTAGATAAATAATTTCTTCTAGTGAAAGGGATAGGTTTGCATTTAAATAGAGATGGTTGTACATATTAGAGTAACTAGGTTTTTTTTTTTACACGTATATTATTCAAGGATTTAATTCTTTTTACTAATATTTAATAAATTATTTTAAATTATTTATAAATGAATGAATTTAAATGTCTATTGAATTAAAATATTGTTTACTAAATCTGAAAAAAATATTAAATACAGTTTGGTGATATATAATCAGATTAATTTATTTTAATTTTTCAAATATGCAAAAAACTAATTATCCTAAAATACAAATTAGGAACATAAAAAGGAATGCTCTTTCAACATTTAGTAGTTAAATTTTTAGACATATAAATATATAAAAACAACGTAGCTTATGAGATGTCAAAAAAAAAAAAAAAAAGTTGTAATTGATGTTTAAAGAAGTGAAGTAATAATGTTTTGAATTCACAATTTGAAACTATTATTTGAGAGAGTGTATCTGAATGTACCAAGTTGATGTATGAAATAAGTTGATTGAAACGCAAACTGGTTCTACAATATTTTTAGATATCAAACTAAAAATAATGATAAAGTGGTAATATTAAAGTAGTTTTTTGTTTTCTTTTTTGAGAAATATGAAAGTAGTCTTCTTGGTTGAGCATTAGCTGTGTGAATATTAATAATTGGGTTTTACTAACAAGTGTTACTAGAAAACTCATCGAGAATTCTATATATATAAAAAATATAAATAAAAACAAAAATAGAAAAGAAAAAGATACTCATTGAGAATTAATTAATTAGAACTTCTTACCAACATTTATGGGTTATTTTTCAATAAAATTTATTTATTAAAACTCGTAATGATACAATTTCTTTGACTGTTAACCTCGCTACAAAAAAAGAAAAAGAAAAGATCTTGCTATAAAATTAACCTCGGCAGATGAAGATGGAAAATGTCAGGGGATAGATTGGGCTCAAATTTGGATGTGATCTACAACCCATCACAACTTAATTGATTTGGGCTCAAATTGGATCCCTATCGATGATTTATATATATGCACTGATGCGACCCAATGTGGATTGGGTTGAACATATAGGGTTGTGTTTTAGTTACCAAATTAAATAAATTGAATTGGGCTCAAATTTGGATGTGCTCTACAACCTATCACAAATAATTTTTGTTGTTTTAGTTGCCAAATAAATTGAATTGGGCTCAAATGCTCGAATTTTTTTCGCCTCGTCTGAAACTTTCAAATTCTTACCTTTGCCTTCGTAATGGCTATCATGCTGTTTGGTGCCGTTCTAGATGCACCACCTTTTACATACATTGAGTGTTTTGTAATATTGATTGGATCCAATCTGAACTCAATCGGGTACTCGTGAAATTCAATAATGATTTCAAATGGTGCTGCGACATCCAATCGAACTGTTTTCAAGCACCATTTAAAAGTGCATGACTTCGGATTTTCCGAAGGGTATTTGTATTGCCAGTACTGTTGAGCCAAAAGAGGTTGGGGAACACACACATATATATATATATGGCTGAAATTGAACCATTGCCAACAACTTGTGCGTGCAAACCCATCTCCTCTACGGATTGGGTTGTGATTTGGGTTAAGGCTCGAAATAACTTTTTCTTAATGGTGTTGGGCGCGAATTAACTTGAACAAAATGTCAAGATATAAATGAAAGTGAAGTCAGATAGGATTAACAACTGCGAACATTAATTCAAAATTCACTTTTCATTAATCGGATTGAATTGTATGCTTAAGTTCTTCTAACAAAAATGAATATCTGATTTTGAATATATTAAAGTAGATTCAAATTATCTATTAATAGTGTCAAATTCGAATTGGTTTAGTATATTTGATTTCGGTTAATATAAAAACCCACTCATAATACTCTGGATTAAAAAAAGAGATTCAAATTAGATGGGATTGAATTATATACGAGGATTTCGATCGAACTCTATTTATTATGAAAGAGTGTGGACGTACTTGTAGGAATGAATTTAACCTACTAGTTGGAGAAATGCAGTTTTCCTCCATTTTCCTATAGCAGGAAAATATAAGAGAGAGAGAAAAGGAGGCCAATGAGTTTCGTTTCAATTGACAATAGTGTTGAGTTGGTGTCAGTCCAATCTGCAAATCTATCTAATCTATGTTCGGAGGATGTGGTGTGTATAGTGTACAAATTACTCATCACAGCAAAAATAAAAATAAACGAGGGTCATGAGTTATATTTCCAAATCATGCCCTAGTTTGCATTTGGGTCATTATAATAACTGAAAAGATGAGGCGTTGGGTTACTCCAAAAATATACTTCTCTATAACTATGTCTATTAATATATCGGTTGAGCTAACAAATGCAGACCAACTTTGCTTAGCAATACAGGAAAAGAAAAGGAAGGAATACACAGTATACAAAGTGGTGGAAGTCCACTTGCAGACAGTCAATCATTTTTTTTCTCCCTCCATCAATGAACACGTTCTTGTCCTCGCACAGTTGTAGCAGTTGAGATCTTTGGGAAATGGAAAAGGCCTTCGATTGCTGCTAATAAATACCTTGAAAAGCATCCCACTACATCAACCAAAGCTTTAAAGCAAAGGTACATGATTATATCCACTTCTAATATTAGCACAAAGTTGTCCAACCCATTCTATTTCTATCTTTCTTTTATAAATACAAGGTTTATGGTGTTTGGTGTTTGATGAAGGATAAGTGGTTTAAATTTGATATTATCATCATGATTCGAATACAAGGATGAGAGACACTTTGGATTAGAATTAAAAAAAAAAGAAAAAAACAGTAGAAAATTTTTTCTCATACATAAAAAATTACAGTTGCAAAAATCATATTTAAAACTCAATCTGAAAATAAAAAAAATATTTATTTTTAGTACGCAACAATAATGCATATGAATAAATAATTCTGATTTTTTTCAAATAATTTTCTATTAAAACAATTTTAGAACTTTACCAAATATCATTTTCATTGATTTTCAAAAAGTCTAAAAAACTATTAAAAAAAAATCAGACTAGTTCTCAAACAACCACTTTATTTAATATGCAAAAACTAATTTGAAAATAATCTAAACATTATAACAAAATAAATAAAAATACAAAGGAATTGATATAACACCAATATCAACAAACGTCAATGTATTTATCTAGTTTACGCGGCAAAAGACGATGAATTTAGTTTTGATTGATTTAAAAACTAACTCAAAAAAAGCCTTATTATTTTTAAACATTAAATAATAATAAAAAAAAAACATTGAGTGTTGCTTTACGCTAATAGTATGAATCTATTGAAACTCTTTTTACCTTTCTATTCGTGTATAAGAATCTAACAAACAAGACATTGTGTAAATAGTAGTATTCTAAACTTCCCCAAAACACTAATATAATACTAACAGTTTCTGTTATATGCATAACAACATATGATGTAACCGGGAGAATCATTTATGAGATTACGTTTAACAAATTACCTAACACCAACTTCATGGTGTACTAGTTTCGTAGGTAGTTGGTGTTCGTCATGGGCCCAACCCTTTTAGTTTGCCGAACCCTTTAAATATTATATTTTTAATTTTTTCTTTCTCCAAAATTTTCAATTCGGTTGGTAAATGTAGCTTTTATTTTAACCCCAAGGTCATGTTCATGTGAATTTTCGTGATTGCTGGTTAATAGACATACCGAACCTTCTATTCTGGGTATTTGTGTTCTTTGGTGAGAGGAGAAATGATAATAAATAAATAAAAGATAAGATTTTACCAAATCCACTGGATGATTCTGGAGTTAAAATCAAGCCTTGGTTTTTTCTATTGAATTATATGATTAATCATATTGCACCATCATTAATTATAGGCATTTTGACCGTTGACAACAAAGACTGGTTGCATTATATGTCAAAGTTTTGGTTGAAAGGGTATTTTTTCTATTAGTGATGACCTATTCTTAATTAGATTGAGGAGATTGATTTAGTATTAATGCTTCAAAATTGAGAAGATATCATGCAACCACAAAACTTGAAAAAAAAATAAAAATCTATAATGCAATTTATATCACTTCCAAGTGAATTTAGGACCGTAACACCATTTGGTACAAAATAGTAATAATAATAATAATCCTACTATTCATGTCTAATTTTTACAAGAATTTGAATCCTTAATCTCTTATATAGCTAATTGTGATAATGTACAATGGAAATGAAATGGGATTTATTAGTATTAAAAAACTCTCCAAAAGAAAGTTGTTGAAAACCTCACGAGTCTAATGTTTTTGAATACTATGATAATGATAGCTAAAGGTTTTAAAAACAACATAAATAGTTTGCCTAACTGATAAATGCTAAATTAGAAAAATAAAATAACTAGAAATTTAGGATTAATAATATCAATACAAAAAAATAATAAAAAAAGAAACAAATCAAAAAGATTTAATTCCTAAACTAAAACAATATAGGCTAGTTCTGCATATTCGTATTACAAAATAGTTCGAATGTGAATTTTTGAAATTGATTTTGATTTTAAAAATAAATTTAAAAGACATTCGAGTGATTGATGTGTTGTAAATCTCTAAATAATCTTTTTAAATTGATATAATTTATACTAATTAAACATCTGAATAAAAAGTTATGACTAATTAATTGAATAGTGTGTGCTTTTATTTCAAATTGTCTTTTTAAATTTTTATCTCTTGATCTAATTTATAAAATTATTAGTTAGTTATCTCATGAAGTGATGTTCAGTTTAAGTATGAAAATAATTTAGAATTGAAAGCAGGATCGTAAAAAAACAATGATTCATAAAAGAAAAGTATTGGAAAAAAAAACACAGAGGACTCAAATTAACCAGTCTAATTGAAAAAAAAATAATTTTGAATTGTAAAGATTGGCATAAATATACATTGACCTTTAAAACAATAATAAAAGAAAATTATAAGGAGAATTATTGGCCCAATAGTTTTCGGGGGCACTTGCGAGACCTTGAAAAGAGTGAAAACTGAAAAATGAAAACAAAAATCCAAAAACTTCAAAAGGAAAAGCTACCAATCAATTTCCCAATAACAGAACCAAAGATCATAAAAAGGCATTAACAGACAGAAAGACACTGACAAAACCGTCCCGTGTTCTTTCTCTGCTAATTTGGAAAGTGGGAAAAGATTTTATTAGAAGAATCTATAAAGACAAAACTCCCGTGAAGCTTCCTTAATTCTAATGTTTTCCCCCGACCAGAACTCCAATGAAGGGGAAAAAAAATTCGATGCATAAAAATTAATTAAAATAAATCAAAACAGTAATATTGAAAAGATAGGCTGTAATATTCCAAAAAGATTATTGAAATCAAGTTTCAACATCAGTAACAGCGATTGATACCTGACCTTACAACTAATTCTCGTGATTCTTAAGTGGGGCCCTTTTTCTGTGTAATCCCCGCAGATTATCCCATTAATCAGGCTTCAAAAAATACTGATAATCGAATGCTGTCAGAACTCGGTTGCGTTATATTCATATACGAATACGATACCCGTTCAGGCAATTATTGGGCTCCGCTCGAAAGCTTAATTAATTTATTTATTTTTCACTTTCTTTTCTCTATTTTTTTATTTTGTTTATTTATTTATTATCAAGAACGTATATATCGACAGGTTTTATTAATTATAAAATTGCTACAGTTGTGTATTTACTTGGGGCCCATGACAGTATGAAACAAAAAATGCTAAATTTTTTAACCCTTTTTATTGGGACCCAGGATAGGAGTTCTGTTGCCGAACTGTCAACGTGGTAAAAAAAAAAAATTATCTAATCCAGTGTTGTTGCTCGGGAGCTATAATTGTATGGAGTGGAAGGATTAACAAATGCTATTCTGCTGGTCACGGTGACGTTTAGACAATCATTAGGGAATGTGATCGCGTTTAGACAATTATTAAAAAATATGTTCGTAAAATAGAGTCGTTATTTGATTTTTTTAAATAAAAATTAAGAATAATTTAATATTATTTTAAGAGTTTTGATTGAGGAAATTAGTTATATAATTAGAAAATATCACAGTCAGCATATTGTGTGTTTTTATTGAGATTATTAATTTATGAAATTTTTTTATGCAAATCTAATTGCGTATCCACTTGTCTTCTAAGTTGTGAATTTATTAGTTTTTTTTCTAAATAATTTGGGATGAGGTGATTTGAAAAAAAAGAAGAAAAAACTCATCCTGTCGCTCAAAATATCATTGAGACATTGGAGCCTAATTACCAAGAAAAAACTTGGGACCAAAAGTCCATTTACCAATTAGAAGTCCCGAGCCCAAACAAATAAAAAATAAATTATGACATAAATATATTAATTTTAATTTTTTTTAATTGAGTACATGAATTTTAATTTTTTTTCAATGCGTTAATTTTTTCAAAATTATCAATCAAGTGTTTTTGTCAATTTTTTCGTTAACCGGTGATATGTCCGGTATCCTCAAAATACCAAATTATCATTTTATCATTTTTCTCAATTGAGTACATGGATTTTAATTTTTTTTTTGTTTAAGTACATCAACTTTTTCAAAATTGTCAATCAAAGATTTTCATTATTTTTTTTTCCTTAATTGATGACATATTCGAATATAAAATTATAATTTTACCCTCTTTTTGTTGAAAAAATCTTTCTTCTCAAATTATTTTACTATTTTATAATAATTAGAAAAATTATTTTTTATCTTTAAAATTTCAATCTAAACTCAATTAGGTTTAAAAGTTAAAATTAAAGAAAAAAACAAATAGATCTTCTCGATGAAAAATCTCAAATTTGTATTTCTTTCAATTTTCATGCCCAAAACCTAACCTTTATTTTATTTTTATTTTTTAACAACAAGTCTTACTAAATTTAGTTTGAGATTTTATAACTAAAAATATATTTTTTAAATTCTTTGTCAAATTTAAAAATGATATAATAATTTGGGGAGAAAGTTCCTTACAACAAAAGATAAAAAATATATATAATTTATTATTTGGACACATCATCAATTGATGAAGAAATTAATAAAAATACTTAATTGATAGTTTTGAAAAAATTGGTGTACTCATTCTAAAAAAATTAAAATTCATGTGCTCTATTGAGAATAAAAGAGTAAAATTGTAATTTAGTATTTTAAACATAACGGATACGTTATCGGTTAACAAAAAAATTGACGAAAATACTAAATTAACGAGTTTTGAAAAATTTGATATACTCGTATGAAAAAAATTAAAGTTTATATACTTAATTGAAAAAAAAATTTGAAAATTCATACGCTTATATTGTAATTATCCTACTAAATTATTATTGCCTTTGATGCTTTACATGCTAAATCTCACTAAAGCAATGACTGTATCCATCTCCAAGAATTAACTATTTTTATCTTTTAATTGTATAAATATTATTGGATTAACTTTTATGTATTAAGATTAAGTTTTTTATTTTATTGAATCTTAAAAAGATTATTCGAACGTAACTGGCGTGTCCATGATAAATGACTTCAAGAAAGACATAGAGAATAAACTTATTTATGTTATAAACTGAAGCCTCAGAGAGTGAAATTATCCAATTTATATACACAAACATTTTAGACATTCAAAGAAACCAATCAACACTGGTTTAAAAGTAAAGATAGGTTTTGGAATTGAAATTTCATCCAATGGTAGAATTAAATCATAAACAGAAAAAAAAAATAAATTTTGCAACTTTTTTTTCCTTCAAAGTTGAAGATATTTATATAAAAAGGAAAATTATTAACTACTCAACTCGTCAGAAGAAGACAAGTTAATCATTTTCAACGTCACTCAGAGAAGAACAAACCACTAATTTAATTGAAAATTTTAAACATAAAATTATACTTATTATTTTTATTTTGATATTGACATATAGTAAAAAAATTTTAGACCAATTTTATCAATTAACGAACTACTATTATTACAACTCGTTATTCATAAATAAAAATTAAAAATTGATTTTAATAAAATAAAAATAATTTTTGTATCACCACACAGCATCTTTTGATGATAAATTATATTTAAATTTATCATAAGAGTTTAAGAGATGAGACACGATCCTTACATCACATGGAATAAGATTTAAATAATAAAAAAATGAAAATAATTAAAAGGTAACAAAACAAAAAAATTATCAACTCAATAAAAATAATTTTTGTATCAATACACTACTACACCACAGCTTTTAATGATAAATTATACTTAAAATTATCATAAGAATTTAAGAGATGAGACATGACCCTTACATTACAAGGAATAAGATTTAAATAATAAAAAACAATGAAAATAATTAAAAGGTAACAGAATAAAAAATTATCAACTCAATAAAACAAGCAACCAGAGTAACATCTGAGTGCTAGATACCATCTTTGTTAATTCTTTTGCTATGTCCTATGTTTATTTCTTTAATTTTTTTAATTTCCCCTTCAACTTTAATAAAAAAATGCTATGATAATTAAACGGAAAGTTCCATTGCTTGAATTTAAAGGCAATCAAGTCGATAGTTTATGATTCGAAAACAATAAAAGGTGGATAATTTATGACTCATAATAATTCGCCACATGATGATGATTAAAATATTAAATATCAGAGGAGCCGAGATCACCACCTACACGTATAGCCCGTGGTCTGAAAACCACCCGATCCCAACCGACCAAAGACAAATTAAATACGCGTTCGAGCATAGCATGATCCGACACAAACCTCGCATTATAAACGCCTCGATGCACGCCTTCGCTAATGGCTACCTCAAAATTCTCTTCCAAATTCCCACCATCTTAAACCCCACAAAACCTTATTCATTACAGGACTTTTTTTATTAACACATCTTCAAGACACTCAATAAGGATGTTATATATTTTTATCTTTGTAAATATATTTACTACCTCCTAGAAATAATGTTTCTTTTTCTTATGAATTTCTTAATCTCAGCATGAATATGTAGATTTTACATGTTAAGCAACCAATTGTATATACATAATTTTTTTATCCAATATTTTTATGCAAATACAAATATTTTTTTTCTTCATGAAAGATCATTCATTTATCATTTAGGGAAATAATTTTTTCTTAATCCATAGCTTGTGTTTCAATGAGTGGATGGTGAAATTATTTTTAATATGTTAAATAAGACGTGAAATGATATTACATATTAATTGGGGAAATAAAAAGACAAACAGAAAGTAATAAAAATACCATACGTTCAGTCACACACTCACAAGTCTCTCCACGTCTTTTCCGTTTCTCTCTGTCCTTCCTCTACACAGTTCAGACACATCCATTTTCTCAAACCACAAAAAAAAAAAAAAAAAAAATTCCCTCTCACTTCTTTCTGTAACAGAAATGTAAGAGGATACAAAATCAAACAACAGAGCCACATACGGAGAGCGAAAAATTAGGGTTTGTTTAGCCTCTGATAATTCGTTATTATAGTCAAAATGCCGTTGACGAGATACCAGATAAGGAACGAGTACAGTTTAGCCGATCCAGAGTTGTATAAAGCAGCTGATAAAGATGATCCAGAAGCGCTTTTGGAAGGTGTCGCCATGGCTGGCCTCGTCGGCGTCTTGCGCCAGCTCGGTGACCTTGCCGAGTCAGTCTCTCTCTATCTCTCGATTTTTGTTGTTTTCTTTTCGGTTTGAGCTCGAATTGTGCTTGCTTCGTGAAATGTTAGTTTACCAGGGCCTGAGTTTGAGTAGTCAAGTGTGCGTTTGGATTTTTTAGTCTTTTTTGATTGGATTTATTTATTTTTTTTTCGAGTTTTAGTCGTGGAAGTGCTGGTTGAATTATTTATTTATTTATAGTGATAAATTGTGGCTTTGACATAGGAATCTGATTTTGGATTCTGATTCCTCAGGCTGATTTGATTGAAAATGCATTTTTTCTCTTTTATTCCTAAATTTAGTAATTGAGTTTTGTTTTGAATTGAGAATTTTAATTAAAATTTTCGGTCCAATTGAGTTTAAGATTTATGCTGCTCCGTCTCGCAAACTTATAAATTTTTTTGGAGTTTTTTAGTTGATAAAAGTTTTTAATTGTTCGAAATTGAGGAATAAATTTTCATCTGGTTGTAGTTAATAATAACGATGCATGACAGGAAAAAAAGTGAAATAAAATTGAAGAGCAAAGCCATTTCTTAAGAGCAGATTCACCTAATGTGCTGTATAACTGAAAAAAATGGCATAGGTTAGTAAATGGACTAACAATAATGGGCTGTTTGTGATGTGTCTGTATGAGAGAGTCTATTCTTAAAAGATAATAGCATTTTTTATTTCTTAAAATTCCCACATAGTTGATTTTCTGCTTGGAGTTTATAGAATTATGGTATTTCCTTTATGTTTTTTGAAAGGATAGTTGATATCTATTACTCTTGTTTAACTATGTTTGTATTTGGTAAGCATTTATTTCAAGGGAGTGTGATGTAGTGATGTTTGGAACCAAAAATAAAAACTTAAAATAATTAACAAGATTTATCACATAGAGAATGCCACAATTTTGACCTGTCTAATCTGTTTTTTTTTTTTTTTTTTTTTGGGAGGGTTGTAGTTCATGCCTTGCCCAGCAGCATCAAAATGTCTCTTTATTTGGTCTCTATGGCTTTACAGTTGTCTACATTGTTATACTATCCGAATACTTTTCACTCACTGAAATTGTAACATAAGAAATGCTTTTGATGCCTTTTTTTCTTCTGGATTTAAAAGGTTTGCTGCTGAGATTTTTCATGATTTGCACGAAGAAGTAATGACGACTGCAGCAAGAGGCCATGGGCTAATGGCTCGTGTTCAACAGCTCGAGGCAGAATTTCCTTCAATTGAGAAGGCGCTTCTCTCCCAAACTAATCATTCACCATTCTTTTCCAGCTCAGGTTTGAAACCATCTGCCTTTTAATTATTGTATGAACTTTTGATGTCTGGTACTGGCCTTTGCATTGATAAGATGGAAATATAACATAGCTGAGTCTTTTCTTTCATTTAGTTTCATGCTCTCAACCTTGCTAAGTAGCCTGCCTTATTAAAGAAAAGGTAGACTCGGTCTTCTTGTGAAGTTTGTGAGAGTTAATTGGAATGTAGATGAAACGAAATAGAGGGAATTTAAAGGAATTTATTGAAGAAACCTGGTGTGGTAATTTTAAGAAGAAGGAATTAAGAAATATTGAATATCAGCAATATGTTATTTTTGAGAAAACAAATTCAGGTGCAATTCTCCCTAGAAGGTCCTCTTATTTTTTTTAAGAAACTGGAGTGTGCCAATAAGTTTAGTAAGTCTCATTGATGCATATTTGTTGTGTACAAATGATATTCTTGCATGGGACTATCAGAGTTTGCATTTTATCAGTTAATTAAATCTTCAATTTTATTGCAGGTGTTGACTGGCATCCAAATTTGCAAATGGAGCAGAATCTAATTACTTGTGGAGACTTACCTCGCTTTGTAATGGACTCTTATGAAGAATGCCGTGGCCCACCACAGCTATTCCTTTTGGATAAGTATGATTATGAGTTTGCTTTGACTTTCGAATTACAATACCCGGGAAAAAGACAAATATTATAATTGTGTCTATTCTGACAGGTTTGATGTTGCGGGGGCTGGGGCATGTTTGAAGCGATATTCTGATCCGTCATTCTTTAAAGTTGAAACAGGATCATCTGGAATAGCTACAGTAGAAGTTCAGAGGGAGAAGAAAATTCGAAAAAAGGTAGGTAGTGAAAAGATCATCACTATATAGGATCACAATCTTGCTGGTGTGAAATGAAGGTATATTATTGGGAATGTTATCCGGTATATACATCCAAGGATTTTATTTTAGAAAAAACTATTCCAACTGCTGCCTATCTCTCAAATGGTTTGCTTTGGTCTGTGGGAAGGTCTTGTTCTCCATAAGTGTTCTTGTGGCATATATGCAGCTTCAATGGACTGAACTTAAATGCTGACCTTAGTTCACTGCATCGTGTAGTTTTTCTCTTAGCTTGATTGTCGTGGAACAGCTTTAGCTGTGATAAAAATAATGACTGGTCATCACTATGATATAGCACTTAGAATATATCTTCTATTTGGTAGTTAACTATTACTATCTTATTCTTCATCTTCTTCTTCTTCTTCTTCTTTTTTTTTTTTTTTTTTGTTGGATCTTACTATTAACCCTGAATGTATGAGGTGTTAGAGAATAGTTCCTGGACTCCGACCGTTAATCTAAGTTTTAAAGGTGTGATGTGCAAGCAGAGTGTTTGAAGATGAACTTTATGAGTTCTTGAAGCTACAGTCACATGAATAGTAGAGGTAGTAATAATATGCATATATGAATTTGGAAAAAGTTGTGCTCCTTGAATGTGTTGAGCAGTAGAGTAGGGCACTAGGTGCTTCAATTTCCATCTTAATCAACAGTACCCCATATCTCAAGCCTGAAGGCTGGATGGTCTTAATTTGTATATATTGCTATAAGCTCATTTTCATTTCTAGGCTTGCTCTTTTTATTTTTTTCAAGCACATTGACTTGAATTTGCTCCCACTTTAGCATTGCATAATACAATCTTTTATCTTCAAAATGCTTGGGATGTAATTTGCTTCATTATTTTTGGCAGAAGAAAGGATCACGTTATAGAAATGGAGAAACTCCTGAAGTTCTACCAACAACACATGCCAAGTGAGGCGTTTGATTTTTTTCCCCCATTAGATCTGTGCTTTAATTGGAAAATCCTAAGTAACTTGGATTATGAGTGAAGTAATTTGCTTTACTATATGCAGATTACATGAGTTGTTTTTGGAGGAGCGTTCTGAGAATGCCCATTCTGACCCGGCACGGCTAGTTAAATTGAAGAGAAGGCAGTTCAATGGATCTCCCTTTGATCCGAAGCCTGGAAAAAGTTACATGCAGAAATTTGTGCTTACTCCTTCACCAGAGCGTAAACAAGTTTGTGAAGATTCTGTCACTCGATCACCTTTGAAATTGATGTTGGATAATTCTAGTGAATCAGGATATGAAATACATGAGGTCAGTGTGGTAAGTCCTGTGAAGAAGTCATCACATGGAGGGGAAAGCACATCTTCATCACCCAGGGAACGGGAGGCCATGCTTAAACCTTTTATGGAGGAGTTGAATGGGGAGGCTGTTGATAGTGGAATAATTAAGGTACCTGACCCAATTGTTGATCGTGAGATGGATGAATATCCCTTTACTGTCCATAAAATGGCGATTGAAGAGGAATTATCAATTGAAGCAGATGGAAAAACAGAGGGCACTGTAGACAGGGATCATTCTGATGACATGACAAGTGAGGTGGACAACTACATGGATGCTCTTGCTACCATGGATTCTGAAATGGAAAATGAGTATAAACCTAAGAGTGATCAGGACTTCATGGATGTGAGGACAGAAGGTGCAGATTCTGATGCAAACGAGGAACAGCTGGATATTCAAGCAAATTTCTCAGATTCTCAATCCATTGGAAACTCTTCTTTGTCAGAGGGTGGGAACAGTTCGTTTAAAAAGGAATGTCTAGCATTTCTTATTCTGACACTCACAGCAATTTGGTTGAGAATACAGCATCTGATGGTGAAGGAGCAGGTAAATGGTTCCCTTCTGTCTCTTCTACCGAAAACTATGCAACAGACATTGCTGATTTGCCATCAGATAATCCATCTGTAAGTGCCGAGACTGGCCTAACTGAATCCCATAACCTTGCAACATTCAATGATACCGAGGAAGACAACATCCCTGATCCTGGCGAAGTGTCTTGTAGTTCATGTCTTACAGATTTGAATCCTGTCTTCTTGCATGCAGTTCCTGTTGCAGGTTCTATGGTAAGCCCCTTGGCAGGATCTGAATTAGATGAGGCATCCTCTGGCAATACTAAACTTGGCTCTGAATCACCAAACTCCGATAGAAATGGGTTAAACCCAGCTGATTCTTTGGCAACTTTATCTGATATGCCTTTGCAGATGGGGCATGATACTTCACTTACAGATTCTTCTAAAAGTCATTCCGTGGATGAGTTGGATCATGAGGATCCAGACATGTTAACTGATGCTGTTGTGCATGTGTCAAGCATGTCAGATCTGGTTTCTGAAAAGAGAGGCAGTGATGATTCTGTGAAAGGAGTGCTTCAAACAGATTATGCAGCTGAACATTCAACTATGACAGCAGGAAAGGAGCAATTTCCTCGCTCAGCTTTGCCTGTAGTCAAGTTGGATATGGATGTCCCATCTCTGCCTGATAATTCGGATGTTGTAAAGCCTGACGGTTTAGTTTCTGAAGTTGATGATGCAATTGCAAGAAGGGAAGTTAGAGTAGAAAATTTAACACCAGTGGTGGATACTTCAGAGGCTGATTGCATTAACAAGCATCAATTCTCTGATATAAGACTAGATGCTTCTCAAGCGGAACTTGACTCAACAAAACTAGGAGTTCCATGTTCTGAAGAGAATATGAAACTTGAAGAAATTTCCGAGGAAAAGAATACATTCATGAAGAAGGTGGAAATTGTAAGAGGAGATGCTGCTTCTTTCGAACATCAATCATTTAATTTAGATAAACCAACACTTGAAGATCATGTAAATTCGGATGATGCTGTAACTGAAACTGTTCAAGCAGAAGATATGGCTGTATCAACTGCTGCTACAAGCGGTACGAACAATGAAAATGTCAGCAGTGTGATTTGTCCCTCTTCAGAGTTAGTTTGTTGCCCGCCTAGGAATGCTACAGAGATGCTAGAATCTCTTTCCATCTCCGAGGATCCACATCAGACAAGGTTGGACCTTGATGAGGTAATTTCTGCCGAATGTCTATCAGAATCACAGGTGCAGATGGAGGTTACTGCAACAGATTGGGATTCTAACCCATACAAACCAGTTTCTGAAGACCATCCAATTCAAGAGGTAACTGAAGTTCATAATACATCTTCGAAACTGAGCAACCAGGAAGCAGAATCAGAATATAACCATCAGAGTCATCATGGGGAGGCTAGCAACAATACTGTTTGTTTGCCTACCTGTTATCTGCCAGAGTCAGGGAATGCTTTAGAGTACTCAATTGAGGTGCAAGCTGATCAAATTAGTGCAGATTCCATGTTTGCAGGTGACGCAAGTTCTTCGTTGAATGGTCAAACTTCATCTGCTGGCTATCTTGTTGGGCCTGGAATTTCTCTGGAGCGCACATTGGAATTGCAATCTGATCAGCTAGACAGGGGATGCTTGAAATTAGGTGAAGCAAGTTCTAAATCAACAGATATTCAGTCTGAACACATACAGAATCTGCATCACATAACTGAGAAAACATGCGTTGACAGTTCCTTTTCGAAAGATCTTTCCAGTCAAGAACTTCTACTGCAATCAGCCTATCAGGAACATAATGCTACTGATCTGCCAACAAATCCATTTGATTCTGCTTTTCCTAGCTTTGGTGTACTCCCCGTCCCTGAGGCAAGTCAGGTCAATCCAGAGGCAATGCCACCATTGCCACCTCTACCTCCCATGCAATGGAGATTAGGGAAAATTCAACCTGCTCCACTAGATGGAGACAGAGACATGATTGATCATATTGAAGGCACTTTCCAACCTATCCAGCCATTTATGGTTGATCAAAAGGTCCATTTTGATTTTCCATCATTAGATAGAGAGATTGCACATCCTTCAAACCCATTTTTGTCTTTCCCTGTTGAAGACAGTCAGACGTCTCAACACTTCACTGCAGGTTCAATGGGAAATTCCTTGTTGCCAACTCCGCTGTTGTCGGAAATGCCAGCCATTGACAATGATGCAGACTGTCGACAAGATCACCTCCCACCAGACAGAAAACAATCTGTGAACTCACCTTTGGCTTTACCAGAAATGACTGATGAGAGGCATGAGCATGGTTTCCTTCCATTAGGAGGAGAATCTGCACAATCTAGTTCCAATCCATTCTCATTAGAGCCAAGCATAGAACATGCAGCTGCTGTAAATGTTCCCATGCCCACATCAGACCTGCCAATCCATCCATTTAACCAATCATCACCCGAAACAGGATTAGAGGTGAAGTTTCCTGGACAGAGTTCACAAAATTCAAAAGAGGAACAAGGGAATTCTTCTGGGAAATCTGCAGCACCACTAACTGCTGAAGAAGTGCCGCATCACCATGATTTTGTAACTTCACAGGGACTGACGATGCAGCCGCCAACTACATTAGCTATGACACCGCCAACTTATGAAGTTGGAAAACCAAATGGAAACAAGATCCCTCGCCCTCGAAATCCTCTCATTGATGCTGTTGCTGCACATGATAAAAGCAAAGTAATGGTGATTTGCAGTCTTCTTTGCAATCAATCAGTCTTTCTGATGTCTTATGCATAGTCCTTACTTTGTGACAATTTGAACCTTATGCAGTTGAGAAAGGTGGCTGAACGAGTTCAACCTCAGGTTGGACCAAAGGTAGAAGAAAGAGATTCACTGCTGGAACAGATACGAACTAAGGTTCCATCCTTCATTTTTTTTTTTTTTTATTCGTTTATTTATTCTCTCTTGTTGGCATGATGCCATGACCCCCTTGGTGCTCAGGACTGATTTTTGTTTTCTTTCCTTTTTTTGGCTGTAGTCCTTTAACTTAAAGCCTGCAGCCACGGCCGTGACAAGGCCTAGCATTCAGGGTATTCAGGGTCCAAAAACCAACTTGAAGGTTGCTGCCATCTTAGAGAAAGCAAGTGCAATTCGGCAGGTCTGTTTGTCTCTCTCTCACTTTCCATCTCTCTCTCTCTCTCTCTCTCTCTCTCTCTCTCTCTCTCTCTCTCTCGTGTGCATGCGTGTGTGTGCATGAATAATGCGTGCGTGTGTGTGCATGAATATAATAATTATGATGTCTACTTTTGAAATAGGCATTGACTGGAAGTGACGAAGATGACGATTCAGACAGCTGGAGTGATTCCTAATCAAAAGTCTCACCTGCATACTTCAAGGTGGCAGCTATTGCCTTGAAATTCTTCGGAGATATTATATCCTCCGTTAAAGTAAATAGCAAAGATCTACAATTTTTGGTATTCTTTTGCTCTCTACACTATATCATGTATAATATACTCTTTCCCTCCCATCATGGCTCCACCCACTACATATATTCAACAAAGAAGTACTTGCTGGTATGCTGCTCTATGTATCCTTGGGAATCCAGTGCCGGGGTGAAATGCTTTATACAAGAACGACTGTGGCTCAGCGTGTAAGCGCTCTACCCATTGAATTGTATTGTTCATTTTCTAAAATATATAGCAGTAGTAAGTTGTCGGAGTCACATAAATTTTGATGTGTAGGGAACCGAATATTAAATTTTGCAACCTTATATGTGTTGTCATGATACGTAGTTTCTATCGTACTTTGCTGCTTGTTTCTGGCTTAGGAACGATCCTTCGATGGTTGGGTGATTTTTTTTTTAAACTGTAATTATCATTGAATTGGGACGATTGTTTTGTCTACTTCCAATTGAATATATTGCAGCTGGAAATGCTGATCGCTTTGTACGTGTGCATTAGATTCGTCGTGTCTTGAAGTGGCCATGATATTTGTATGGGTGTTTGTAACTAATACATAATTCAAATTTAAATAGAAAAGGTGAAAATGCTAATTGAATTACTAGCTACTATGGTGCTTAATGATTGTCCCCAAAGGCAATTAAAAAAATTGGGGGAAAAGAAAAAGGTCAAACCATTTCCGAGCAAGCAATCAGCGAATTGGTAATCTTATAAACTCATTCTGTTCTACTACAGCTCTCCATTCAGGAAAAGATGACTGCCAAACTCAAGAATGTCTCTCTTTGACATGATAAAATAAAGAATTTATTTTTTCAAACACACCAGGAATTTCCTATTTCTCATGGATGGATATCCCACCCTCCTGATTGATATCCCCCCATTCATGAAAATTTTTGGGATTGTGGGCCAGGTACTGTAGTTCTTAATTTTGTGCTCAAACCATAACTGTTTTCTTTATAAGCAAATCAAATCCTTCACAATCAACTCCTTTGCTTTAAAGAATGCTGATTTGTAAGTTATTCCATTCACGATTTCCAAGCTTGCCCCGAAATGCTCCATCAACTTCATCTACCAGCCCAACCTACAGGATCATTTCTGCAATATCATATAGGAAAGAAAAACATTGAATTATTCAAACTATTTTAAAAGGCTGGTGAGTCAAAATTGTGTAAAAAATACTTATAGCAACAACAATTCTAGCTCAAACTCCTATTCAATCACTCAAGCTTCCAGGTCATATGTCGAAGCAAAGCTTGAGCTTTGCTTAAACTGAACAAGATAATGATGCAAACATTATCGACAATCTAATGATATTTTGGCTAAAAAAGAACTAAAAAAAAACTCAAATGCAAGGTTTTTTTTTTGTGGTTCTACTCAATCAAATCACTTCTCGATATGTTAATGAACATACTTGAGGGTTCACATTTTTTTCTTTATATGACATTAGATATGGATTGTTGATGGGTTCAAATAATTCAATCTTTAAATCGATTAAATGATAGATTTGATTCAACATTGATTTAATTCAGATAATAATAAATTTAATCTCAACTGATGTAACAACTAGTTTGAATATATACATATATGTTAGACATTTACAACGATCAACGTGATGTACTCATTTTTTTGGGACATTAGGCTTCAAATCTCATCTTTGAGAAATACAAACTTCTTAAAAATTTCCTGATCCTGACATAAATGGCCTCTTTTGATTGAATTGGAGATGTAAATCTAATCTATGTGTGCAAAAACTATCCAAATAAACTACAAGGCTATAATACAAAAAATAAACGCGCACGTTAATGAACAAAAATTATGAACTATTTATCACCCCACTATGTAATGCAAGTGGTAAACACAACAGATTAAAATCACATCAGACAGGCATTTTGAGTGGTGAAGAAGGTTCAGTAGTGGGCTCATGGATGGAATTTATTCAGGAGATGGATCATTTTGGTGCTTCACAGCCAGTAACAAGGGATCGAAATAAATCCTTGGGTGGCAAAGAGTGAAGTACGTAGTCTAATATTTTTCTACTTGTTAGAGAAGATGGGTAGTTGAGAAAACTCATTAACAGTTATGGCTGGATGGATCCTATTTTGTTGTGGATCGATTTGTGAATTGGGAATTTTATTCCAAGAAATGCAATATCTGCCCTGAAAAAACTTAACCTATAAATTTTATTGGTATAAGTTATGGATTTCAGGTCAAGTATTGCATGTCATGCAATAAAATTCTCCCAACTTCAACTGGTGATAGATCTCCCATCTTTAAACTATCAAACAAGAAAGGAATTATGGAAGGACGAATGTTACACAATTACGAATAGCAAAACACAGTTCAATTTATAGAGGAGGAGGCATAAATAATATGTTGTAGTACCAGAGAATAGGTAAACAGTAGCCAAAAAAAAAAAAAAAAAAACCAGAGAGTTTATTGCATATTGGTTGGAGTTTTAAAGGGGAGGTGGTTTTTTGGACCTTTGAACGAGTCTTGGAGATATATTTGTGATGGATTTAGTTTGGATATATATATATATTACAAGCTTTATTTTGAAAAAAAAAAAAAAGTTTAAAAAATCTAATGGCTTTGTGTGTGGGGAAGTTAAAATTTTCATTTAAACTTCTATTAAACGTAATTATTAAGTTTGTTTATAAGTATTTTGTACGATGAAGCATTATTTATACTAGATTTCTAATACCTCGGACATTGATCAGAATTGGTGTGAAAAATATATTTGGAGAGAATTTGCACCTTTCATATTCATATATGTTTTTTAAACAGATCATATGATTGTATTTATATCAAAACCGAAGTTTAAGATATTTTTACGAGTGTGAGTATCGGGTGAAGCTAATTGAATATAAATTTTTCATATTTTTAAGAAATGAATAGTAAAATCCAAACTTAAAACCTTAATTCTGCGTACCAAATGAGTATTTTGCTTGTCACTTAAATAAATAATCCTTTAGGAGCAATTTATTAATGCAAATGGGTTGATACCACATTCCTTCCCTTGTGGTATCATCCTTTCGGGACTTCTCACTTCAAATTAGATAACCATATTTTGCAAATTCTTAATGGGTATGTTAATTCCTTGGGTTTGAATTCAAGAGAGAATTGGGGGAAATTTTTTTCATAAATTAACTATAATAGTTCAGTATGCTAAAATTCAATAAAAAAAATGATATATTTTGTCTTTATATAATGAAATTAGTTTCTAATCTGTCATTTTTTCTTAAAATAAATCAATTATATTCTTATATTTTAAGTGAATTTGTAATGTGTATTTTTTTATGAATTTTAATTGAAAAAAATAATGTGATTTACACATAATAATTTTTTTTGAAACGTTCTTCAACCGAAGGTAGTTAAATTTCATTTTATCCTTTTAGATGTATTTTGAGTAAAAAATTAGTCATGTCTAAATTATATAACTTTTTTTTTTATGGTTCGATAAGAAGAATTTACAAAAAAAAAAAAAATTGATTAAAAATTCACTTAAAACATAAAAATACAATTAGTTGATTTCAAGACAATGGGAGATATTGGATACATAGTTTTAAATAACGGAAAGGTGAAAAAATGATCGCGGTCATCATCGCGGATCAGAGCTTATTATAATATTAAAATAATGATAATAAAATGTTTTAAAATCGTTATATAACGTAACGGGAGTTATTTAAAACTATAATTGGATATTTAGATTATGCAATTTCAAAAAAATATAGTTTGAAGAACGCATACCAATCCCAAAAGATCAACCCTAAAAGCCCAGCCCGTAAATTCAGAAGCTAACCCACACCGAGGCCCATAAATTAAATCAATCCATAATATATAAAACATCAAATTCCCTCTTCTGGTCTTGTCAGTTGTCATTCTTCTCTCCTGTCCTCCTTTTTCTTTTTCTCTCTCTAAAATTGCAGAGCAGCCATTTCTCCGTCTCTTATAAGAAACTTAACCAATAAATATTTTTAATCTTTTTTAATTAGCTCCTCTCTACTTAATTAATGGATAATGAGTGAAGAATCTTGTTTCTTAACTGCTTTTTTTTTTTTTCAAATTATTATGTCTTCCTTAATCCTCAAGAAGTCAGTGGACATAAAAAACCGCCTCTTTCAAGGCTTCAGGTCTCCCAAACACCTAAAACATGTCCACGCAGCCCTTCTACGCCTCGGCCTCGACGGAGACACTTACCTCCTTAACAAGGTCTTACGTTTCAGCTTCAACTTTGGCAACACAAACTACTCCCACCGCATATTTGATCAAACGAAAGAAGCCAACATTTTCCTTTTCAATACAATGATTCACGGCTTAGTTTTGAACGATTGTTTCCAAGAATCCATTGAAATTTATCACTCAATGAGGAAAGAAGGGCTTTCTCCTGATAGTTTTACTTTCCCTTTTGTGTTGAAAGCGTGTGCGAGGCTTGTGGATTCTGAATTGGGTGTTAAGATGCATGGCCTTGTGGTTAAAGCTGGTTGTGTATCGGATGCGTTTGTTAAGACAAGTTTGGTTAGCTTGTATGCGAAATGTGGGTTTGTAGATAATGCATTTAAGGTGTTTGATGATATTCCTGACAAGGATGTTGCGTCGTGGACGGCGATAATGAGTGGGTATGTTGGTCTTGGGAAATGTAGGGAGGCGATTGATACGTTTCGTAGGCTGTTGGACATGGGTTCTAGACCGGATAGTTTTTGTCTTGTTAGGGTTTTGTCTGCATGTACGCGAATTGGTGATTTAAGAAGTGGAGAGTGGATTGATGAGTATATAATGGAGATTGGAATGGTAAGGAATGTTTTCGTGGGTACTGCTTTGGTGGATTTTTATGTCAAATGTGGAAACATGGAGAGAGCACGTGGTGTCTTTGATGGGATGCTGGAGAAGGATATTGTCTCTTGGAGTTCTATGATTCAGGGTTATGCTTCCAATGGGCTACCTAAAGAAGCTTTAGACCTCTTCTTTAAAATGTTGAATGAGGGTTTCAGACCTGATTGTTATGCCGTGGTGGGAGTTCTTTGTGCTTGTGCGAGGTTAGGGGCTCTAGAATTAGGGGACTGGGCTAGCAATTTGATGGATAGAAACGAGTTCTTTGGTAATCCTGTAATGGGTACGGCATTGATTGACATGTACGCAAAATGTGGGACAATGGATAGAGCCTGGGAAGTTTTTAGGGCAATGAAGCGGAAAGATAGAGTAGTTTGGAATGCGGCTATATCGGGTCTTGCCATGAGTGGGCATGTGAAAGCTGCATTTGGGCTTTTTGGCCAAATGGAGAAATCTGGGATTGAGCCAGATGGGAACACTTTTGTTGGCTTACTTTGTGCTTGTACCCATGCCGGTCTAGTTGATGAGGGTCGTCAATATTTCAATAGCATGGAGCGTGTTTTTGCCTTGGCTCCAGAAATTGAACACTATGGATGCATGGTGGATCTTCTTGGCCGTGCAGGCTTATTAGATGAAGCCCATCAGCTTATCAAAAGTATGCCAATAGAAGCCAATGCTATTGTTTGGGGAGCATTGCTGGGTGGATGCAGGCTTCATAGAGACACCCAATTGGTGGAAGTTGTGCTGAAACAACTCATAGCATTAGAACCGTGGAACTCAGGTAATTATGTTCTTTTGTCAAATATATATGCAACAAGTCACAAATGGGAAGATGCAGAAAAGATTAGGTCAATCATGAGCGAGAGGGGGATTAAGAAAATACCTGCATATAGTTGGATTGAAGTAGATGGAGTTGTTCATGAATTCCTTGTTGGGGATACGTCCCATCCCTTATCGGAGAAGATATATGCAAAGCTTGATGAATTGGCCAAGGACTTAAAAGCAGCTGGTTATGTTCCCACAACAGATTATGTGCTGTTTGATATAGAAGAAGAGGAGAAGGAGCACTTCATTGGTTGTCACAGTGAGAAGCTGGCTATTGCCTTTGGTTTGATAAGCACAGCTCCAAATGACAAAATTCGTGTTGTGAAGAACCTTCGTGTTTGTGGTGATTGTCATGAAGCAATAAAGCACATTTCTAAAATTACAGGTAGAGAGATAATAGTGAGAGATAACAACCGATTCCATTGTTTCACTGATGGTTCGTGTTCGTGTAAAGATTATTGGTGAAAATTGCTTGAGGTAGTAATGGTTTCACTGGGGGCATGTTTGATGTGTTATACTGTTCCATCGTTCTTTAGAGTTGGAACAGAACTGGAATAGAAATCAGTAGAAGCTCACAGGGAGAAGAAACTTCCGGAAAGCCAAGGTATGTAGCGAAAGATCATCACTATATAGTATCGAAATTTTGGTGTGTATCAAATAAATAGATAGTTTTATGAACCTCGCCAATACAAGATTCATCCACGGATTTTATTTGAAAAAAAGAACCACTTTGGCTGCTCTCCATCTCTCAAATGGTTTAGCTTCAGCCTGCAGGGAATCAACCTGGTGGCAAAGCTAGGCCATTTTGAAGTTCTTTGTACACACACGTTATCATAACTTCATATTAATTAAGAACTTAGAACTTTAATTATAACAGTAAACATGAAAATGTAAATTATTGAGTAAAAAATATTAAAAAAAATTGACATCGGATAGAATATCAGGGAACATCCTCAGATTTTGCTAATAAAAATAAGAAAGGCGTAATAGTAAAAAAGCATGTAGTAATGAAAATGAAGCCTTAAAACAAAGAAATAGAAGAAAAAATAACAGAAGATTGTGAATGGGTGGGTTTTTTTTTTTTTTTTTTTTTTTTTTTTTTTCCTTCCCCAAAATAATGGCACTTTAGAAGTTTTAAAGTTCTTAATGGTCACAAAAAGATGCAAGCTAGAACTTTTTTTTCTCGTTTTCGGTACATCCACTGCTACATGGCATTCTTCTTTGAAAGGACACCTGACCAAAAACATACTATCGACTAGCATTTACTAGATAATGCCCGTAGCAGAGCATTCATTTACTACTAATATATACTCCTACCTAGGACCTTATTTTGATTGAGCAAGGGGCCCTCCAGTTCCAC